CCCCCCCCCCGTTATTTTTAGACATATAGTCAAAGTCTATTTTGCCTGGATTAGTGGTTTTGTGGTGAAAAAATTGCATTCCTTGTTTGGGTCAAGCAGTTCAAGAAAGGAGAACACTGCTTGTAGAAATAGAATATGACTGAGAGTACATCTTAATTGTTTAAATTAGATAGATGATGATTTTACGCCAGTTAACCTGGGTGATAGGTATATCTGTTTAGGTGAATTCTGTGGAGATTCCTGCAGTATGGAGTGGGACTGAGTTACAAATTATGTTGTAGAGTTATAATAAAACTGAATAGCTTGATGGCTCCTACACTTTCATTGTATGACTTCAAAATTTCTGAATTTATTGTGAATTTTAAAGTGCCACTCATATTCACATGAGCACATGTAAATGAGGAGTTTGAGTCAAATGCAATAAATTTTATATTATTTTGTAAAATAAAACCCTTTCTGTCTTCTCTCACTAATTTAACAAATTCAAATTAAATATCAATATATACATAAAATTCTTATAATAATGTCTAGAACCTTATGTTTTTATTCTTATTAATAAATAACCAAGAGTTAATGTACCTAGATGAGGTCTTTCTACTATATTATCAACAAGTCATGGTAGGATGAATAAAAGTCTGGAAAAAGCTATTAGAATATGTTTGGATTGAGGATTCCAGCAGTATCCGATTATAGACTGAGAATTGGATAAGATACATCCTCAAGACTTCTGATTGGTTATTTGAAATAATGTAATGGATCTAATATAATTAAGTCTTTAGGGGATTATTCTTGAAGTTTTTAAAAGTTTTGAACATCTTTTCTCTGAAGCAACTTAAAGTTATGGCTTAGAAAATTGCATAAATCCCCAAGAGCAAGAAATATTTAAATGGCCTTCCTGAGCCTGGAGGTGATTCTTTGGAGAATTTCCTTGGTCTTCAGAATGGGACAATATTTCCACCTGGGCTTGAAGGGCAAATGAAATCTTCCATATTCTCAAATATTTATTTTCTTCTTACTTTGAACCAACAGAACCAAAATATACTTCCTTTGTAATCAATAATATTTGGTTGTACTGTATAGGTTTTAAAACAATTTTGAAATAGTACCTTTGCCATCAATGTTTTCCAGACAACAAGCCCTGTGACACTATGGCCTCTCAGTGGTAGCAGCTTCGGAAGTTCATCAACCTCATAGAAAATTTTGTACAAAAGGCTGGAAATAGAAGATCAGGGCAAAACAACCTGCTGTGTGTTGCAATCTAGGAGGTGAGTGGACCTTCCATTTAGAGGTAATTGTTGAAAACATACTAATAACATAAATCCAAGGGGATGTCAGCCCGATGAACTGAGTTGAAAATAGGCCATGTGTTTGGGGATAGAATATTTCTTACCATAGAGAGTGTATGGAGAACAGGACTGAAAAAATTCTAAGAGGATTTTCTCAGATATAGTAAGAAAATAAAGAAAAAAAATGAACAAATATGACCAAAAAGTAATTTGCAATACACAGTAATTTAAATATCCAAAAAGATGGATATTGAAGTCTAGAATTTATCTTACAGGGAATAAAGATTCATTTAGTCAGAATATAGTTTACTGGTTCCTTACATTAGTACAAGTGCCTTCGTGTCTAATGGTGTCATTTCTCACTGGTCCAATGCAGTTGCTGTACAGTAGGCAGTGAACTTGTACTCTTGATCCAGAATGAAAAATAGGCTGTGTCACCAAAGTTTAGATTCTGTAATGATATACTTCATAGCACCAATTCAGCTCTCTCTGGTTCAGTTAGCAAATGTGTGTCCAGTGTTAATCATGAGCAGACAGACAGTCCCTGTCCTGGGGCCTCTCCACTGAGGGTGGTATTAGGAAAACTTTATTATGTGTTCTTGAATACATCTTTTGATCTGTGTAAAAAGGAAATGAAGAGGAACAGTGAGTTCTTAGCTAACAGGAAAGAATTTTGACTTTCATAGTTATGTTTGCATGAGTATTTGGGGAATTGTTTTGAGCACTTTTAATTCTTTTTTTATTGTTGGCAGTGTATTCCTATAGTAACTTTAGATATAGTATTTGTCACACACACACACACACACACACACACACACACATTGTCATTTAACTTTTAGATGAATGAATTGAAATAGCTTTTCTTTAAAATAATGTCAACCCGTGATTTCCTTGTTTTAAATGGCATTGGCCTTTGCTATAGTTGTATACTTCCCTTCATTGCAAAGTGAATAGAGTTTTGTATAATGTGCATCCAGGTCATACCATAGAGGGGATGAAAATTAGTAGGTTGGTTGGGCAAGAAGAGATCATATACCTGAACAGGTCTTTGTAAAAATTTAAAGGTACTCTTTAAGAGCATGAAACTAAGGACAAAAATGTAAAAGAACTTGAAAAAAGGACAAGTCAAGGAGAGATGAAGGAAACCAAAATAGTGCTTTACATGCATTGCTTTACTTACTCTCCCAAGACCACCACAATGATGCTATTAAAATCCCCTGTTATAGTTAAGGATATTGAAACACAGAAGTTAATTGCCCAAGGTCACATAGCTCATTACTGGCCTTGTAAGCAGAGGGGCCATGGATGAGGGACTCCTAGCCCTGAAGTCGTTTCTGGCCATAGACAGGTTTAATCCATATAGAAACCACATAGAGTGTGTGTCTATGTGTTCTGCACAAAGCCAGAGGCCTGTCATTGGTCCAATCCACTGACCAAAGGCTTTCAGTGAGAACTGAGTGGAGCAGTGTGGACTGAAGCTACAGCTTTTAGCTGGTGCAGACCCCCAGTCAGGATAGGCTTGGGAAGAAGCAGAGCTAGGGAAACAGGGCGTGGAGTCCCTGTGGCTGATTCTGCAGCACTGGCAGTGCTTGGGCTTCTTTCTGTTAATTGTGAAAGCCATCTCACAGCATGTTTCCCTCCAAACTTGATAGCTGCCTGCTCCTCTCTGGGGTTGGGGCTGTGGAGGGAGTCATTGTATTTATTGTATTGTAATATTTTTAGCATTCTTTGACTTCATGCTACAAGTTTTCTGTTGTTTATAGAAACTCTGTGTAGAAAGGACTTGCTTTAAAGCACATCTCTGCATGTCAGTAAAAATCTCAATTTCACTAAATAATACATGTTCTTTTTAATAGACAAAGGGAGCTTGCTTAGTGAGACAGAGCGAAATTGCTTTTCAGTTATCATTTACCAGGGAACTGGGAGTCGGGTGGCTGGCATTAAGAAGGTGATCTGGACTCAGAGTAAAAGAAGCATGTATCTTTAGGGTGTAAAAGAATCTCAGAGTATAAAAGGTAGAATTGATTGAAATGAAGACAAAACAGGATGAAAGGAGAAGTACCCTACTAATGACCAAAGGTAGATGTGGGTAATTAGAAGCTAGTTGAAATATGTCCAAAGGATTCAGTTTAGACCTAAGATTCCCGCCAAGTTTCCTGAATAAGGAGAATGGTCTACACGTTAAGTGCCTGTTTGCTTTGTGAATGAATGAGAGCACTTTCAGTGGATTTTGTGTCCATGAAGAAGGCAAGGGTATTGCTGGAAATCAGTGTGTGTGTGTTGTGGGGGCAGGTGGGGAAGCACTATTTTTGAGGAAAGATTAAAGGAATGGCCTGAGACTTTATGAGTCAAGGTCTTTGAATGTAAAACCTACTATTTCTGACCCCCGAGTGATGACAGTGGTTATTTCCTTGACGATTCCTTGACCCAAGGTAAGAGGGGTGAATGAACTTTTGGAAGATGTCCTTTTGGTCATAGTCTTTCTTTCAATTGGACTTAAGAAGCAACTAATTAAAGTGGCAACTAAAAGTGTTTATATTAGGAAAATGAGAAGACAAGTCACAGAATGGTAGACAGTATGTGCGTCATATATCTGATAAATGATGCATAGCCGGAATATGTAAAGAACTCTCAACTCAACAATAAGAAGACAGACAACCCAACTAAAAATGGGCAAAATACATGAATGACAATTTACTAAAGAGAACATAAGGATGGAAAAAATTTCCCAAACAGTTATTAGGGAAATGCAAATTAAAATTATGATGAAATATCACTGCATACCTATTAGAATGTGTAAAAAATATATATGCTGATGATACCAAGTGTTGATGAGGA